GTCTCACAGGGCAGTGTCCCTCTGTGACTTTGATAGATTTTTGTCAGTCACCTGGCAGTGATTTGAGTCCCTCGGGCTGCAGGATTAGGGCGCTCAGGGCTCGGTTGGGAGTCCAGGTGTCTTGTCCTGTGACTGATCACAGTGATGATTGGACAGCGAGATAAAGCCAATGCTCACCTGCTGCTGGGTGTGTTGGCTGTGTGTGTGCTCTGCACGTGTTTGTGCTTAGACGGGAGCGCGGTGGAGATCACACTGCAGGACCCACCGTCGGTCCTCAGCCAGTGCTTGCTGTGTGGTGCGCTCAAGTCCAATTGCCCCTTCTTTGTATGTGAAGATACTGAGACCTGCAGTGGCAGGGACTGCCTGACCTCTGACCCGGAGCATTGGCTCTTTCCTCCGTAACATATTGCACTCTTACTCACATGCAGGTTTGAGGTATAAAACAGGCAGATTCAAAGAGCTCCCATGGGAGGTGAGCCCCGGCTGCTCTCCCTGCATCCTTGGGAGCCTTTTGCCAAGTGTGTCATTTGGTCCGCAGCCTGGACCGCCTGGGTGCTCTCTGTCTCTCCTGCTGGGAGGAGGGCAGAGGGCCTGACAGATGAGGCTGGGCTCCTGTGGGTCCGCCCACCTCCATCTGCTCTGAAGCCCTGTCCTGTGCGTTTTCCCACAGACACATCTTCCAACCCAGAAGGATACAAGTCTGAGCCTTGGCACTGCTCCGGGCCCTGCAGGACAGGGTCCCCTTCTGCACACCCACCCACAGAGGCTTGTGCATACACACCTCTGTGCATTCCCAGAACTTCCCACAGGGACTGTTTTACTGACCGTATCTTGGGAACATTCTGGTTCTCAAGAGTGTTATCTTTTCCAGTTAGTTAACACATTATTACAGCCTTAGTCTCTTCCTTTAGGCTAAGACACTCTGCCAGGCCCAGTGGGTGGTGTCCTCGGAGTCCCTCACCTCTGAGGCCTGGCCTGACCCTGGGCAGGGCTTTTAGTGGGCAGAATCATTGCAACAGGAGGTTCTGGCCTTTGAATTCCCCAATTTCCCTTGAGCCACTCCAGGAACAGCTCAGGGCTCTCCCCATCACGCGGTCAGCATGTGCACTAGGCAAGGAGCACACTGGTCTAATGTGTCACTGTCTCCCAGTAACCCCAAAGCACCTGCCCATGCTAGTCGTTCGGTCAACAAGCGCATGGAGGCTGGTGTCTGCTTTGCTACATTGGGCCAGGCAATAGACCATCTGCTCTAATACGGTCATGCATAACAACTTTTCCATCAGCAATGGATTGCATATATGATATGGTCCCATGAGGAGTGTATTGGCTATCCCACACAGCCTGAGTGGGTAGTAGACTGTACCATCAAGGTCCACGTAAGTGCAGCCATGACCCCCACCCAGTAACAGAATCGCCTAGTGATGCATTTCTCAGAATGAATCCCAGTTGTTAAGTGATGTGCGACTCTATGTTCTCATCTCCAAAATGGAAATACTGAAAACACTTGGAAACCAAAGAAGGTAATTTGAATAATATGTGCTGTTTGCTTGGTACATAGCTTGCAGGTGTGTAGGTTACTCCACACTCAAACAACAGGAAGCCTGTGAGCCTTGACTTTCTAGCTGAGTGGCAACCGTAGGAAATGGTACCCGGGGTATAGTTGGTGACTCTTAACCAACCCTCACCGTTTTCAGTCTCCCTCTTGTTCCTGGTCTTAGTTGCTATTGCATTGATAACAGAAATACCTGTGGCTGGGTTGTTTATAGACAAAAAATAATAGAGATTTATTTGACTTACATCTCTGTTGGCTGGCAAGTCTGAAGGTAGCTGGCATCGTAGCGGACAGAAGCAGAGAGGAGGTAGCCACGTGTGGAGAGTGAAAGCTGCAGGAAGCTCTCTTATATAACAACCTCCTCCTGCAAGAACTGACTCCTTCTCAGGGGAGCCGAAACTCCCTTAACCTCTTGCAAGATAGCATTAATCCATTCGTGAGGCCAGTGTCTCTATAACCCAATAACCATGATCCATTCTCCACTCACTAGGACCAAATTCTAAAATGTGAACCTTTGAGGGGCAAACTATTATCTGTTCCTTCCAATGCTGTGGTGGCTGCTGCTTCCTCTGAGAGTATCCTTGAGCAGCAGGACACTTAGGGACCATCAGGTTGATGACTAACTCTGACATCCTGAGGGGTGGCCTTTCGGGACACCTAGACCTTCGGACTGGGCCACCAGCCTAGAATTGTTCTAATCATTCTGCTGTTTGACAGCACCGTCTATTACTTTGACAATGAACGTAGACAATGAAAGCAGTGAATGTTCTCTGAGACCTAAAGCAGTGATCAAGGATTTGGGAAATGCTATTTCTGTCCAATCTTCATTTTATATATAATGACAGCATGATCGTGAGTCAACTTTGGTGAGGTTCTCACAGAGTTTTTGGCAGACCTAACACAAGACCAGATGTTTTCGTGAAGCCAAGTTGTACGAAAATTGAGAGCTGAAGCTCTTCTCAGCTTTGAAGGAAGTGGCTGGAAGGTAGGATAGACGTTTGACCTTGATACTGAAGGAGACCTAGACTCAGAGCCACTCCTGCCACACACGCTGCTCCTTTCCTGTTCAGTATTTTCTTTGTATCTCTTCTGTCATTTTCCATTATGTGCTGGGTACAAGTGGCTAATGTGAATTTGTTCATTGAATCCTCATTTTTAAAAAATGTACCAGAAGGGGAACCAGCAGTTAGCGTAATGGCTATGTCGCTGGATTCCCACGTAGTTGACCGCGGTTCGCGTCCCGGACCCGGTGGCTTAGAACTCACACTGGGCGCATGTGCGTGCGTGCCCAAGATCCTGAGAGGAGAATGGAGGAGAAGGGGTTGCAGCGTGACCATCCCCCCTGGGGGGTGATTTCTTGCTTTCTGTCTCTATGTCTCTCTCTGTCTGTCTGGCGAGCACACGCGCCCTATAGTGAAACCTCTCAAAAAAAAAAATGTACCAGAAGGCACGCGTACTCACCAGGAAGAGAGACAGAGAAGAGAGAAAAAAGGAAAACTGACAAAGTACTTCCCACCCCCAATGGGGGATGACTACACAATCCCTTCTCCATTTCTCCTTCTTTGGGGGATTTTGGGCATGCACACACATACATTCAGCTTATTATCAAGTCATCGGAATCCAGGACTCGAACCTCTCAGTCAGTCATGTGAGAGTCAGCCAGCCACCCTGACAACCATGCTCCTAGCACACCCTGAACCCCTATTTTTAAGTGTGAAGATTCTCAGTAATTACCTGCAAACAGTAACTTTCTAAATAACCAGTACATTAGCACATGTAGGTGCCATGCGCTGTTTGAAAGTCACCTAAGGAAGGCAGGGTACTGTCAGCTCGATATCCTGTAACAGGAAAGTGAAACATTAATCATTTATTTGCTTTCTGCAAAAAGTCAGAGATTTATTTAGGGAGAAGCCAAATCCGTATGGATGAAATTATAATGGTGTTCAAGAAGATTTGCTTGGAAATAACCTAGTGGGAGCTGGGAGGAGAAACGTGGTAAAGGAGAAGCATGATTAGCCATATGTTAAGTTCATCCTGTGTTCGCTATACTTTTTGCATCTGTTTGAAGTTTTTTTATTAGTTTCAAATAAAAAAAAATCAGTGTAAATAAGTGATGGTGCAGTCATATGTCAAAATAGTGTGTATCCATTTAAATAACAGTTATGGATTTTATTTATTTTTTTTAGATTTTTGCCATAAAAACCTAAGCTAGCGTGCACTTGCCAGAGAGAAGCAAAGAGAAGGAAAGTGAGAAATTACCCTCCAGAGGGATGGCCATGCCATAATCCCTTCTCCTTCATTCCCCTCTTGGGACTGTGGGCATGCACACACATGTCCCAGCTGCCAAGTCTGGGACTTGAACCATGGTCAGCCATGTGGAAGTCCACCACCTTACCTACTATCCCTGTTTTATAATTTTTGTGTTCTTGTGCACTCTTTTATTTTTAAGGCTAAACTCATGCTCAGTACTTCCTGTCCTTAGCAGAGGTATCCAGAGAAGCTTAGGAACTAGGTTTCCTGATTGAAAATAGCAGACGTTGGCCCACCCAGGAGATGCAGTCCACGGTGTACCCGACTGCAGGGCTGACAGCCGCAAGGCCAGCTGCGGGCCTGCACCCCTGGGCTGATCTGAAAACATGCTGAGCATACATAGACATCCAGATCTGACAAGCTGGAGGGCTGGGGGAGCAGGATCGTGGAGTGACAAAACCCCTGGAAAGTAATTTTTTTTCATTTTTAAAAGAACTATTAATTTAGTTTAATGTATTATTTATTATTTTTTAATTTGCCATATGGCACATGCACTCACCAGAGAAAGTGTGTGAGAGGGAGAAAACAAGTGAGAAGGTAAGCCACCAGATCCAGAATTCGAACCCTGATCAGCCATGTGGGAGTCCAGCACTTTAACCACCATGCTACTTGCTGACCCACTTATGAAGAATTTCAATGATGAAATGCAAGTAAGAAAATCAGGAAGCCACACTTCCTAATATGGTGTGTGTAGGCATGTATGCAGAGTATTTGCATGGAAAAAGTATTGGAAGGAGAGGAAAACATTAACTGTGGTTATCCTTGGTGGGCGGGGTTATAGGTGATTTTCATTCTCCATTTCCCACACTTTCTATAGTGAACAAGAGAAAAGGAATCCATAATTTCTTATCATTTGAGAAAAATTCTTAGAAAAAAATTTAATCTGCATGTGGCAGTTGGGGAAGAGCTTTTTCCTGTTACCTGTTTTCCATTACATTGCCCTAGTCAGCAATTAAGTGCCTACGTGGTTACTAATCTGATGGCTGTGGACATATTTTTGGCCTGTACCATCCCGCACTCTGCCCTGGACTCTGTCTTTACTGGGGTGTGTGCAGCAAAGCAATTACCAGCGCTGTTTTACTCACTAGCAACTTCTGCTACACATGTTCCTTTAACATGAATTTCCCTCTGATTTTAGTGAGCTGGACATGATTTCCACGAGGGTGATGGACATTAAGCTCCGGGAAACTGCGGAAGGCCTTGGAGAGGACAGCACGGGTAAGGCCCTGGCTTTGCCTGCTCTGAGAAGAGAGCCCTTGTGTGGCTGTGGGGCAAGGAGAGGGAAGGTGGACCAGGCTCTCTGGGCAGAGGGTGAGGGTTCAATTCCCAGGGTGTTCACAGAGCCCCAGACCTCTCATAGCCAGAGAGAACACATTCAAATTATCTAAGGTCGTTCAGGGGCGGTGTTCCTTTGCTTCTTCGTCTGTCAAACATGAGAATTTAAAAGTAAATTTCCTTATTAATGGAAGTAAATATGGTCCCATGTTCGATTGACTTGAAAGTGAAGGAAGAAGGACGAAAGGAATTCATTTATCACCAGGATTATCCAAAGGTATCAGCAGGAGGTTAGGCCAAGTGCGAAACAGCCTGATCATCCAGAAAGAAATAATTACATCATCAAGAGAACCTTTGATCCCTCTCTTTTTCTAAGTTTTATTATTCTCCTTAGGACTTCAGCTGAAGTCCAGACCCATGAATCATCATTTTGTAACACGTGCAAGAGATCCCCCCTTACCAGATTGGCTTACTGTCATCTACATATCTCGTATTTGTATATATATTGACAGGGTTGTAAAATTGACATTAAAATACTGAGCTCCCCACGGTACACCTTTTTCCTAGATTAGTCATGTACACTCGTCTTATTTTAAAGACACAGGTCTCTATCTCTTTCATGGAAAGTCAACATGCCAGCAGGGCTTTTCTTTGATACAGTTCAGAAGGAACTATTTGATAGTAATGGTAAATCCTAGCCATTGGCCATTCACTTCACATGCTAATTTCAGTGAAGACTCTATTTATGTATTGTAGATTTTTCCTATTGTCCCATATTAGAGCCACTTTTCCTCTGTCACATTTCAATAGATAACTACACACACCCAAATGTAAGGTGAGATTTTAAAGATTAACCTGAGAAAAGATGGCATCGCAAATTTTCTCATATCGTGAGACACACTTTTAAACAAGAAAATGCTATTTTAAACATGAAAATGCTATTATTTGAATAATATTTCATTAGCCCCAAACAACTTTAATAAATGCTAGTTTTAGACACTTACAGAGGTGACTATGAAGAATCAAGTCGGGTTTTTTGTTGTTGTTGTTTGTTTCTTTTTAATTACAGCGAGTGTAAGTTCTTCAGACCAACCCTCTCCTACTTAAAATTTAAAATTCTAGGTAGAGCCAGCTGGTGGTAGTGTAGTTAAGGCAGCTGGATCCCATGTGGCAGACTCTGTGATTCAAGTCCGGTACCCAGCAGCTTGAGAAACACTCTGGGCATGTGTGAGTGTCCAAAATCCTGAGAGGGGAATGGAGGAGAGACTATGGTGTCGCCATCCCTCCTGAGGGGTGATTACTCTCTCTCTCTTTGTTTCTCTCTGGCAAGCACACTTGTCCTGTAGCAAATTTTAAAAAGGAAAGAAAAACAGGTTTAGATAACATTTTTTTTCCTCAAAAGTTTTACTTATTAGAGAGACAGAGAGAAACAGAGACAGGTGTTCCCCCTCCCAATAGGATCTTCACCCACAATCTACCACCAGTTTCAGCCTGGGTCCTGGTCATGCACATGTGTGCAGGCCTGACAAAAACAGAGGCCCAGGCACTAACCAGGACCTTCTTGTGTGGTTCAGTTGTTTTACTGCTGCGCCATCTTCTGGCCCTAATAAGGACATTATTTAAAGTATTTTTAAAAGTAAGAAAAAGTGAGACGAGAACTGAAAGAATGGCAACCCAGAGAGATCAGTGAGCATCAAACTTTTACCCTACAATCATAAATCAGCCTTGGGAATTTTGAATTTCATTTTCATGTCTTTCATGGAGTGGAATGTGAGGGGAGAATTGGATATCAAAGTATAGAAGGTCAGATATCAAAGTGCATAAAGTAGACCATCTAATAAAAGACCCTCCCTATGCAAAGGTGAGAGCCCAAGGAGCTACAGAATCTAAGTGTGTACTAAGTGTAAACCAACCCGTGTATAAATTTGTAGCTCGAGTTTGTATCACTTGAATAAATTCAGAGAACTCAAGCTCCTGAACTTGATTAATAGTGTTCCTAGACTGGTTGCAACCCCAGGTTCTTCGCAGAAGTGAAGAGTCTTCTCTAAAGAAAAGCACCTTATGTCTAGACTTCCAGTTATTATAGAAATAATGTTTTCTGTATTATGATAAGCATATAGTCAGTGGTAACCAGGCTTATAAGGCAACAGGGCACCATGAATGAGAACCAATATGCGTGTTAAAGTCCCCAGTGTCTCAAAATGTGTTGCTATTTGGGAGTTAGGTTATTGTAGATGTAATTAGTTAAGATGAGGCTATACTGGAGGAGGGCCTACTCCTAGTCCAATATAACTTGTATCCTATAAAAAAGGGAAATTTAGGCACAGAATACACACAGGGAGAAGATAATGTGAACATGAAAGCAGAGCTTGGGGTGATGTATCTACAAACCCAAGAAAGCCAAAGGTTTCTAGCACCTACCAGAAGTTAGGAGACAGATATGGAAAAGATTTCTCTGTCGCAGTCTTTGGAAAGGCCAACCTCTTGATTTTGGACCTCTCACCTTTAGGATTGTGAGATGATATTTCTCTGCTGTTTTAGCCACCCAGTCTATGGTACTTTTCTACTGTTTAAGCCACCTAATTTGTAGCAACCCTAATAAACTAATACACAGCTGAAACAAGAGAAATGAACACATGAGAGCATCAAATATCATAATTATAAAATATGTGCTAGAAAAACTATGCATACTATGTTGGAAGATAATAAAAAAGTTTGAAAACATCTTGAAGTTCCAAAGTACAAGTGGCACAACACCCAGCCAGTGCAATAAGGCAAGAAAAATAAAAGGCATAGACATGGAAGGAAAAATAGCTCTCTATTTGCAAATGACATAATTACACAAATACACAAAAATGGACCCAGAACCCTTAAACAAGGTTAGCAAATTTGCAAGATTAACCAAGATCAATATATAAAATTGTGGGGCCAGCATGCAGTGTGGTGGTTAAGGTGCTGGATACCCATATGGCTGACCGTGGTTTTAGTTTCAGACTTGGTGGCTTGAGAATCACACTGGGTACATGTGCATGTGTGCCCAAAATCCTGGGAAGAAAATGGAGGATAAGGGATTGCAGTGTGGCCATCTCCCCTAGGGGCTGATGTCTCTCTCCAGTGAGCTCATATGCCCTGTGACAAAAACTTTAAAAAATTATATTTCTATATAGCAGCATTGAACAAATGAAAAATAGATATTTTTCAAAATGCCATTTACAGTAGAACCAAAAATATTGAAAATACTTAGGTATACATCTAATAAAATATATGAAGAATCTATGTACTGAAAGATACAAATAATTGGCTAAAGAAATTAACAAAGTCCTAATTACATGAGGAGAGATGCCATGTTTATGGATCAGGAGACTCAGTAATGCTATTTATTTTCCCCAAGTTGATTTGCAAAAGGATGTGTCAGTATAGGTAATGTTTAAAAGTCAGCTATGTAATTCAAAGATGCAATAGCTCAGTATTCTGTAGCAAGAATATTGGCCCATAATCATTTACTTGATTTTCATACTCAGAAACTTTTTATTTAGGAGGAAGCCAAATCTATATGGATACAATGATAATAGTGTCTGCAATGATTTGATTAGAAATAACCTAGTGGGGGGACCAGCAGTAGGCATAATGCCTATGATGCAAGACTGCCATGTAGTCGACTGCTATTCGAGTCCCGGTGGCTTAAACTCACACTGGGCGTGTGTGCATGTGTTCCCAAGATCCTGAGAGGAGAATGGAGGAGAAGGGATTGTGGCGTGGCCATCTCCCCCCCACCCCCCGGGGGCTGATTTCTTGCCTTGTGTCTCTAAGTTTCTTTCTGTCTTTCTGGCAAGTGCACACACCCTATAGCAAAAACCTCACAAAAAAAAAAAAAAAAAGAAAGAAAGAAAAAAAAAGAAAGAAAGAAGTAACCTAATAGGAGATAGAGATGAGGTAAAGAAAAAGCAACCAAAATATCAGCAGAGTTCACGCAGTTATTAGCAAGTAGATCGTAAATTTTATGTGAAAAAGCAAAGAATTAGACTAGGTAAAGCAACTTTGATAAAGAACAAGATTAGAGACTTTACAGTAAGTCCAAGACTTACTGTAATGAAGACAATTTGGTATTGGCAAAAGGCTTGATGCATACAGACAGATAAAACAGCACGGAGTCCAGAAATAGACCTCGGCACTATGGTCAATTGAGTTTTGACAGAGTTGCAAAGGCAGTTCCATGGAGAAAGAATTGTCTTTTCAATAAATAATGCTAGAACATTTAAACATTCATGCTACCAAAAAGAAAGGGAAATAGATCTGTACCTCACATTGTGCAAAATTGAATTGAAAATATATTGGAGACGTAAATGCAAAACTCTGAAGTCTTTCAAAGAAAGCATAGGAGAAAATATTTATGACCTATGATAAGGCAAGGAATTTTACATATGATCCCTCAATCTATCAAAAAAATTGGTAAGTTGGATCTTATCAACATTTAAAACTTTCGCTCTGTGAAAGACACTGTTAAGAAAATGAGGAGACAAGTAAGAGACTGAGAGAAATAACTAAGGGATTTATAGCCAGTATATATTTTGAACTCTCAGAATTTAAAACTAAGAAAACAACCCAGTTACAAAGTAGGCAAAATATGTTAAAAGATACTTTAACTGGGACCAGCAGATGGCATGATAGTTATGTCACTGAACTCCCACGTAGTCAACCAAGGTTCGAGTCCTGGACCTGGCAACTTAAAACTCACGCTGGGCACATGTGCATGTGTGCCCCAGATCTTGAGAGAAGAACAGAGGAGAAGGGGCTGTGACGTGGCCATCCCCCCAGGGGGTGATTTCTCACTTCCTGTTTCTGTCTCTCTGGTGAGAACACACACCCTGTAGCAAAAATCTCTCTTCAAAAAAGATACTTTACCTAAGAAGAGTACATGTGGGCTGGGGGCCAGCAAGTGGAGT